GGGGACTCACCCAAGCAGGATGTGTGAGAGTAACATTGCTAACAGTCTTCACAGATACCCACAATACTCTTTTTGCTCATATTCATTGGAGCTTATTATAATTTGTTTTGCATTTCAAGATAGCTAAACCTTAACCCACTGTCAGATTCCTCAAGTTATGGATAGTTTGGTGAGGCAGCTAGCCAGAGAAACTAATGCCTTATCTAATATTGGGGGGAAAAAACCTGACAGGTTTTCATTGCTATTAAAATGTTGGAATTTGGGATTGCTTTTCTCTCCACTTGCCACTAAGAAAAGTCTCCATATTCATTTTTGACAAATTACGTGTTGAGGAGAGATGCATTTCTTTATCTGTATTCTCAGACAGTTGAGTAATATTGGCATTATTTTCTCTTTGATCATGTCAGTTAAACAGGGAATGAGGCTGACAGTAAGTTGTGAGAGAGAAGTGATATATTCAAAATCAGGCATTGGTCACTTGAGATATAGTATAAATCATTTCCGTGGCTTTCCTTATTTTATCAATAGTAACATAACCTATCAAGTTCATTCATTTGCAATAACATTTCTGACTGCTGAAAAACTATTTCCTGTTGTTTGTTCTTTCTTACTTACTGTCTTTACCTAATTAGTTTCAACTTTTTCATTCTGAGCATTGTTTCTGAGTTAAAGGATTGAGGATTGAGTTGTAACTCCACAACTGTTTTTTAATTGATGCTGCTTTAATTGAATCCACTTTCTGGATATGCATAAGGAATCAAATAGAACAGGGAAACACAATATGATTTTACATCAGGTGACATACTTTATAGAAATCCTTCCTCCATTTATACTTATTATTATGGTAAGGATTAGTTCTCCTTTCCATCTGCTCAGCTCTAATTTCTCCCACAGTGCACACACAGCTGTGCACAGACTGCACGGTAACTGTCTAAAGCTAAAGTGAGAAATAGCAATGGGAAACTGGAGCATGTGAAACAATCAAAGATACATACACTGCCAAGATGAGCATGTGTATAGTTTTGCCCCAAAGTGATCAGGTTGGGATAGACGTGGGAAGAACCGAGTAGTGTATCATTTAGGCTTCTTGGGAGGGAAGAGCTTTGAAGACATAAGGTTCAGGTGGAACAGAAATAAGCAATGCAAGTAGTTTTAGAATTCTTAAGGAGAAAAAATTAGAATATTTAGATGAAAATCTAGACTTTAAAAATATGCAATTATTCAAATTTCAGACTATTCTCATGTTTTGGAAGTGTTACCATTTTTATACTGGCAATTTTTGTGGTTTTTTTTCCGGTGTTTTAATGAAAACAGTAAAATTTTGAATACTCAAATAAGTGGAAATGTTCTGGTAGTTTCAGATTATAATAAAATTATATATTGTGAAGACTGATGTCAGTTGGTAAAATTAATCTCTTCTGCTGTTTTCCCATTTGGAGCTTAAATTTTTTCATTAATCTGTTACTAACTTCCAATTATTCTAACTTAATTAACACTTGAACTAAAGTACAAGATTTTAGATGTACCACATGCTTTGAGATTAATGTTTTGACACATATCATTGACGTGTCCTTTGATGTTGAAATCGAATTTGTTGTCTTTGAAGGAATAATCCATACTTTTGTTGTTTCCATTTGCAAATTTGTGTGTCTTTGGTTGCCAAGCAAGGCAAAGTTGAAAATATTTAATTTGTATGCAAAAGGCTAACCCAGATTTTTAGAAAGATGTACCAACTGAAGTTATCCTTTCTTCAGTGTTTTGTTTTTTTGTTTTCACCCTGCATTCCTTGCCAGGCTATTGCTTGTGTTCAGTCCTAGGCACATCTAGGGGAAACAGCTCATGTGTTTCCCCTGTTTTGAGTCTTCTGCAGGTGTTGCCTTGTGGCCACTGTTGTTATTGGTCTTCCCTCTCAGAGAAGGACATCAGCCCTTTGCTGATAAAATCTAGCAGTCTTTCTTAAATAGGAAGGAAAGAGATAAGATGCTAAAGGAGTAGACACTGGATAGTTACCCTGAGACAACAAATGAAGAAAAGGCAGATGAGGCCCAAAGAAAAGGATGTTGGAGTGGAGCACTATCCAATGCTCCCTCATCCCTGGAAACATCCAAGAATTTGCAGGAACGTGTTGAGAGAGCCCAGAGCCAGCAGGGCAGTGGGAAGCCTGTAGCTCCCACAAGCATTTGGATCCCACCCCAGAGCTGGAACTCTTGGAGCTGTGAATAACTAGCTGGAGAGACTGGCAGTGAAACGGGAGGGAAGGTTCTGGAGCATCCCATCGCTATGTGCTCCTCTGCCACAGGGAGGGCACCAATCTGAACAGCCAGTCGTGCCCATGCCCATTACTCTGTGGAGATTTTCCCAATTTATGCTTCTGGTGAGCTGCAGAATGAGCTCAGGAAACAAGCTGTCCCCAGGAGACAGAGTGCAGTAATACTGGGGCTTGATAGGCAGACTTGTAATTACCTGAAACACATCAGGCTCTAATTTGATTAGCAGCTTGACAGTTTGATGCCAATGCTTAAAAAACCCAACAAAACAAGAAAGCACGACAAGCTAGCAAATGAAATCCCTGATAACCAGAATCTAAGACTGATTCCCACACAATGCATGTGACACTTTGCCTGGTCTTAGGAAGTGTTGCCTTGTTAAATGCTTATTTGTGGTGCTAACCTCACTTTGAGCTCTGTCCTTTATTTATTTCCTGTTGTTCTTTTTATCTCTGTGTAAAATTAGATGACATGACATTTCTGTATATAATTAACTGATTCATATTGACATAGAGTTATTTATTTTTATATTAAAAATACTATAACCCTATATTTGTGCTATAATTTTAGAGCAGGAGTCAGTGCGTGAGAAGAGGCTGCATTTACTTAAGTCACAATTTACCTTTTACTATAGATGGGATAATTATGACTTCTCTTCCTGTGTGATTGTTTGTGAAAACAGCAGGTTGAAGTACAGTCTGTCACCAAAACACAATCACTCTTATTCTGCTGTTCTTCATTCAATATAGCTTAGTATATAATTAGTTACTTCCCCCCTTCCCTGCTCTCCCTGAAACCTCTACAATTTTTTCTTTCTCTGTCCTGTGACAGACCTAAAATGCTTCATTAATGTTGATTGGAAGCAGATTAATTTAAGTTTCAGATCTTCAGAAGTCAGGTTGGATTCTTACCTGCCTATGACTACCTATTTGCTTTCAGTTGTATTTCTGTGAAACTTGTTTGCATTAATATTAAAACTAGTAAACATTGGAGGTTAACATTCAAATTTGTAAGATAGATGAAGCTAATCTTGTATGAAATTAGGCCAAGGTGTGCATAGATAGTGAGTTAACACATGAGGGAAATGAATGCATTTTTAATTGTTTTCTTTCATTTCTGGGACCCTTTTAGAAAAGCAGAGTTTTTATTATGTTTCAAAAGATTAGGAAGATGGAATAAGTCATTTGATTCATGTTTTTATTAAATGGGATATTATGGGGTGACTATAGTGAACAGTGGAGACAATGGAATATATGGCAAATCAACTTCTTGACTTACAAATGTCTTAGAATTATCAGGGTTGGAAGAGACCTTTAAGATCATCGAGTCCAAGCATTACCCTGGCACTCCACTGAAGTACATTTCACTTGAATATGGTCTAATAATCCTGTGGAGAGTGTATGCAGAGGGGTTATTTTGGTGTGAACGAATCAGTATTATCAGCCTGAATTGTAAAGAAATGTGTCATGAGCCAGTTGTGTTCTTTCCATTCCCTTAACTGGGGATTGTTCATTTTAGTAACATCCATTGCTTTCATGACTCTGAGTTTAGATTTATTGTCCTCTGAAAAATTTCATCCTTTGGATTAGAAGTTAGTACAGAGCACTAGTTCTTCTGTAGCTGGGCAATCTGATAGCAAAGCTTCCATCAATGCAGCTTAACTTTATGGGGATTTATATTTTATCATGTGTCTCAGAAACATCATGTTTTGCCACTTTGAAGAGGGTCACTTTGGTAAAAATGTCCTTAAAAACAGTGAACATTGGGAAAATCTTATTTTTCATTATATGGTAAACTTGCCACATTTCTTGGCCTATTTTTACTCATAAACTGCCATTGTTTTGTATCTCTGCCCAGGCCCTGTATTTGCTGTTATGAATTTTTTATTTTTAAAGTACAGATGGTTTCTCCCCTAGTCTATATTTGCAATGTTGCCCATTGTGTAGTATTGTCACACCTCACCTCTCTGGCTCTAGAAAGCAATCTGGGAAGGACAGCATGGAGCTCTGTGTTGGCTTATTTCAGTCCAACCTGTTCCTGCATTTACTCCAAGTGCTTCAGTGCTGGTGGATTTGAGCTATGCCATTCACTGATTCTTAATTTCTAATGTTGTTGGCACAGAAGAATATGCTTAGTTAAAAACCTGACTGCTTTGAATGCAAATCAGAGAACCAAGTTGCCTGATCAGAATTGATGATGTATTTCTTCCTTCCTTTTCTTCACTGTATGCATCTGCTTATGCATATTTGGACCCAACTGGCAATTCTAAACACCTTGTAAGAAAACACAGGCTTATAAATATCTCCATTCAAGAGGTCAAGAAAGGTTAGATATCATTCAAATGATCAATTTTATATTTTCACTTTGCTTTTCCTGATTAAAAATTGACCTTTTAAAATAGCTTAGTATACTGGGAGAACAATTTTTTGCCAAATAATTGAGAAGCCTGATGCTAAGGTTTGATTATTTTTGTATTATTATTTGGGGTTGGTTGGGGGTGTGTGTGTGTTTTGGTTTTTGCTGGTTTTTTAGGACAGTTTGTTTCAAATGATTTGCAAGATACCTACCATAATAGTATGATTGGTGAGTCTACTCTTTCTTTCTTTCTACCACTATATAAAACTTGTATTTTAATATTTTATATAAGTGTATATGTGTGTAGTGTTAAATTGGTTTGTGTTTATTTGGTTGTTTCTTTTTTCACCAAAACAACAGCTTCTGGTATTTTTTCAGGTGTCCAAAGATCTTCCAGAGAAACAAAAAGAAATAGAGATTTTACTAAAGGATTTCATTGAACTTGATCAACAGCTAAATCAGGTGATATTGTGGGTAACACCTGTCAAGAACCAGCTGGAGCTTTATAACAAAGTGGGTCAGCCAGGAGCCTTTGATATTAAGGTAAATGTTTTTCTATTTTGAAAAATACTGGAATATTTAGTGGTTGAAAAGTCAGTTGCAGCATTAGCACACAGTTTTTATTAATGATATAAATTTGAGACAGAAGTCAGCAATAGGCCTCAGAGTTCTGTGAATTAAGGGAAACTTTTATTCTTTTTCATTAAATGATTTCTAGTGATAGAGCAGATTAGAATCAATGTTTCCATGATGAAATATAAATATAATCTCTTTTTTTTGCCAGCCCATATACATGAAACATTAGACCCAAAAATTGGTACATGAAATTTTAATTCAAAGCAAACTCAAATGCAGACTATCAGTGCTGGACAATTTACGTTATTCATTAAAGCTAATATGGCTACATGAAAATCAGAATAGTTAGGACCAGATTCTCATATTGGAAGGAAAGATATTTAACTGCAGAGGTAACATTCCAGGAATCAATAAAGTTGATTGTCTCGTAATTGTGAGAAAAATATTTGTCATCTGCTCCTTTCTATGTATTTAAGTATAAAAAAATGCCTTTGTGTGGGCTGAGTGAGGCCAGAGACATCAAGGATGAAACCCACTGATTTGAATCAACTGGCTGTGTGTGCACTTAGACCTCTTGGCCTTGCATTTTGTCTGTGCATATAGAATCTTCACATAAACTGGGGAAATATTTAGTGTACAAGAGCTAATTAAAGTCTGTGAAATTACAGGTTATAGTAACTCAGCATCTTGTTCAGCTAGGTAAAGCACTGAGTTTTGTGTTGATTTGATGATGGAATTTTCAGTGGAAAAAGAACAAATATATAAATGTTCAAAACTGTTCTTGTCTTGCATGGAGTGGAATAATCCCTGCTCCTGAAGATGTGTGGTTTTGCTAAGCATGTTTATTATATTCATGTTAATATAGTTTCTTTTAAGGAACTGTTTTAATGGCCAAACTCTTTTGATGTCATACAATCCCATTATATAAAATAGTGAATCTCAAGTCCTGTTGCAGTCCTATAATTGACAGAATGAGTTCAGCAATGACATTCATTCCCTTTCTAGAAGATAAAATTAGTATAACTCTTTGCAAATGTCTGTATATGTACTGAATGACTGATGGAATTTTGCTTTCAAGAAAATTATGTATCCTTATCTCCTTTATTTTAACAAAAAAGTTTAGATGATTCACCCATTTTTTTCTTGTGTTTTTCTATTCTATTTCCTTTAATTCCAGAATTACTCCACCAGTGAAGTTTATATACAATAGAAGCAGGACTAAATTTCCGTAAATTATAGGAGTATTACTTTTCATGCTGCTTGTGAATTAAATGTTCTACTTGGCTCTTTCAGTACTCTTATGGTGATATGACTTGAATATTTCTGAAAAACTCTGGAAAGAACAGAAAAAAATTTTTAAAAGCAAGTTTCTTGCTTTTTTACTTATCTTTAGCAAATTTCAGCTACAGCAATGTTTGGTAGCTGAAATTAAAACTTGATACACTAACCAAAGCTTATCTGACATACTAATTAGGATTGTTCTGGAAGAATTTCCAAAATACAGTGATTTACTTCCCTCAAAACTCTGGTAACCTTTACTTCTGGCATGCAGCTGTAATCTGATAACTGTCATTGCAGTTTGCTCCCTAAATCAAGGGGTATAATAAATGCAGATCCTTATCAGATAATCTGATTTAACCTTTTGCATAATATTGATCTATATAATACATGCATAATAAGTATATCAAGGGGAATATCTGTGAATTTCACTAGCATGATTCATACTGATAACTTTCAATTTATGTGAATTAATACTAATTTAAGAGCTCATACTTTCTTCTACCTCTGCAAAAAATCAGCTGTTAAAGGTGAGAGGTCCCTTAAATTTACATTGACTTAGAAGAAAAATTAAATCAAATCTCCAGCAGTGTTAACCTTTAATGATGGCACAAAAGTAATTCTATGAGAGTAACAAAGGTGCAACCGAAGGAGAAATTATGGCACGTTGTTACAGAGAACTTCATAAAAAGTTAGACTTTTAAGACCCAAATACATAACTTGTTTTGGTGACAGGTAGATCTCTGCAGCCTCCCTAAATCCTGGATTTCAAAATCCCATTAGCACAGAAGCCATAATGCAGGTACTTGCCCAGCAAGATACTATCATTTATTTAAGAAAATGATCTTTCTGTGCCCTCACATTTACTGACCCTTCATTACAGAGGCATTTGCAGGTGAATAATTACACAGCGTCGTATCAGCCTCCTCCAGCCCTGCAGGATGGTTGCAGATGTTTCATACCAGTTGTTTCCTAGACTTGTAGCCAAAGTTAAGTACAAGACTAACTAGTGGGAATGGCTCTTTTCTGCTTCACTGTAATGCAGTTAGGAAACAGGAGAACAGGAGATGCAGCCATAAAGATTGGACAACTCCAGCACATTCCTTGGTCACCCACGTGGAGTAAGAGCTTGTGGTGCCCAAGGAGTGTGCTGGGCCATGTCTGCAGTCCTGCAATCCCTGGAATATTTTGTCTTGTTTCTTAGCTTCTGAAGTATGTACATATGCCAATTTAAAAAGCTGCAAAAATGTTTAACAAAATACGAGCACTGTGAAATTGTTGAAACAATCTTTTTAAGGTTATTTAGTCCTCAGAAGCATATTGTCCTTCACAGCAGCATTTATTATCAGATATATTCCCTGCTGAATTGAAAATTTTGTTTTCTTTCACCCCATTCTGCCTTCATAACTCTGCACTTATTTTAAAGAATTACACTAAGGCTCAGGAAACCCTAATATATTTCATGCCAGTATGATTTGTCTTCATGGTTCTCTTGACCATCATTTAGAGGCTGCAGTGCCCCAGTTGGGACACAGACCTTCAGTTAGGCACAGTAATCTTTAGTAGTGTTGTCAGAAGAATCACACTTGGGCTTTAATAACTCATTTCTCAATATCAGTAGGCAAAGGATTCTTCATTCTCAGGATCTAGAAAGCATCTGTACAGGTATTAGCTCCACTCATGATACCAATCCTAAATTACAGTTTCATTCTATAAACAGTCGAAGATCTTTTTTTTTTATTTAAGAAACTGTCCAAATAAATCATCACTGATGTGCATACTTGCAAGCTGCAAATTTAAAGTATTAGGATAGATCTTGGCTCTTTTAAAGTGTTGAATATTTTTCACCGCATTGACATAATCTTCATTTTCAATAATAGCATCATACAGATTGCTCCTGTGAAATACGTGTGTATATGCATGGGGAAGGCATGAAAGCTGCGTCTCTAAGAATGTCTTGACTCCTCTGGTAGTTATGAACACTGGAACACTTCCAGGTTTGCAGTATAGCAGTTTCTAATGTATCTAAAATATATTTCATATTATGCCTTTTACAACTCTATGGACTTTTCTAGTTTTCCAAGCTTAACAGTATGACTCTCTCTGCATTCATTTTTTGACCTGGATTTCCCCTCATACTGATAGCTATTTTGCATGTTTCAGTATTCAGACTTCACAAACTTAGATGTTATCATTGTGAATTTTCAATTTTACAAAATGGTGCAAAGAAAATACTCTAAAAATCATCTACATTCTAGCACAGAAGAAGGCTGAAGTAGGTGACAGTACAGCTTTGTTTGCAGTACAGCTCCTGCCAGCACTGGTGTCTCACTGTGGGTGTCAGAGCCACAGTCCCTGGGTACTCAGGGCAGGAGGCACCTCCAGCCTGGACGTGCTGAAATCAGCTCTTGCTGTGTGCTGTGTTTGTATGTGCTGGGACTTTTTGTTACCAGCAGTTCTCAATACTCCTGACTGTCTGGAGCCCATTTGCCTGGTCCTGCTCTCAGTTTATGTTGAAAGACTTTATTTTCCCTAGCAGGTTTTCTTTCTTTGCCAATAAAAATCCCCAGCTAACAATGTGCATTTTCTGACTCCTGAGCATTCCAATGTAATGGTTTTGCTGGTTGTATTTTTCATTTTTTCATAGAAGTAAACCTGAATCCTAGGAAGTAATAGCTGCTTTTCAATGGTTAATGCAAACATATCCTCTCAGTGCAAAGCTGAGGTCCTGCAGGATAACGTGGGTGATATGAGAAACTTCTCTCTATGGCTGAATTTTGACAGAAGGAAGTTTTATTGAGCCTTCTCAGATCTGCCTGGTTCTGGATCCCAGCACTGTCTCTGGTTTTGCCTTGCTTGTTGGGCTCTCTGGGGGTAGCTTTGCTTCTTTCAAGTCTTTTGCAGTTTCATAGTATTTTGATATATATATCCCAGGGTGTTTTGGCAGTTTTCTGGGGGCTAAAAATGTATGGGGATGTGTATATCCATCTAACAACAGGAGACACTAGATTAACAGCAGAGCAAGCCTTGTAGCAGTTACTGAGGTGTGGGTATGTACAGTCCTCTAATAGGATGGTCTCCACTTTCCTTTTTAACCTAGACATCATTAACAAACATTCTGCCAGGTATTCTTTTTGTAAAAAATGTTAATATAAACAAGAGCCCCTAAAACAAGTCCACATATACTGTTGGAACGTTCAAATTTTCTATGAAACCTGTATACAGAAACAGTTACAGCTATTGCATGGTGTATGGCAACTCTGAGCAGACAACTAACTATTTGTTGTCTCCAGGATATGCATAGAATTAACATAGTTGGTTCAATAAAGAGTCAGAAGATACTGCTCTGCTAATCCAGTCACACTTGCTTTATAAAGTCATCCTTTCAGTTTTCTGGATTTTTCACTTGAACTGCAGCACTCCTTTCTCAAAAATAATAATAATTTAAAAAAAACCCAGCCCAACCCAAACCAACCAAGACTAGTTTCAAATTTCCACATACAGACAGTCATCCACATCTTGCGGTAAATTACTTCAACAGTTGAGTTAAAAACCTGTGCATTTTCCCTCAGCTGAGTTTACTTAGCTTCATCTTTTTGTCACTGCTTTGTTTGCCAAACTAGAGAGAGGTCCAATGCTGCATTAATGGACAGTAATCGAGTTCTTTCCTAAACTCTGTTTGGTCACCA